TAATGAGAAACTCTTCTCAAGTCATTTATTAGGGAAGTTATATAATTTATGACACTTGGAGGTGAGGAATCCTATGAGAAGGCATCCACTCATATAATATTCATAATAATGACTTATATTTCAAATTTTACATAGGTACACATATAGTTAAAAGTACGTAGCTGTTCAATTGACAGTCTAATTCAAATATGAGATTATATGTTTAACCTTTGGTGGGGTCTGAGTTCCTCCCATTAAATAAAGGATCAAAAAGAAAAGGGAAAATGATAGATAAAGAAGCTTCAAAATGTGAAATGCCAATTTGAAAAGCTAAGGAAATGTAATTACCTATAGAGAAGTCCACCTCCTTTTCAGGGAGAGCTAATGCTTGTTGGCGGCCACCGGTGTGGTGGCTACCGGTGAAGGATTTTTGTGACAAGATTTTTTTTTTTTTTGGAATAGGATAATATTGGTTCAAAGTGACGGGGGTGGGATTTGATCTCACAACCCCTTGGCCACTTGGACCAACAAAAGGGAAGATGGCCATTGGGCTATCAAAGATTTCTTAACCTTATAATACAAGCAAAAATATAAGTTAACTCTTTTACTGTGACTCCAGCTCGTGACAACAATTTATCTGAGGATGACAAGTCTTAATTGAGAAATAACAAGTCTAAATTTGATATTAACAAAGCAACTTTTCCTTATACATAACAAATAGCAGCATGTGCATTAATTAAAAATGATCATAATTTATTTAAAAATGACACGTCTTTACTATAAAATGACAAGTCTAAAATTGATATTAACAAGATAACTTTTCCTTACACATAACAAGAAATAACATCTATGTTAATTAAAAATGACCATAATTTATTTGAAAATAACACGTCTATACTAGAAAATGATAAGTCTAAACTTGATATTAACAAGGCAACTTTTCCTTATACATAACAAGAAATACCGAATAAATTGTTGTTATTTTCCAGCAAAGACGTGTCATTTTTAAATAAATTATGATCATTTTTAATTAATGCACATGCTGCTATCTGTTATGTATAAAGAAAAGTTGCTTTGTTAATATCAAATTTAGACTTGTTATTTCTCAATTAAGACTTGTCATCCTCAGATAAATTGTTGTCACGAGATGGAGTCACAGTAAAAGAGTTAACTTATATTTTTGTTTGCATTATAAAATTAAGAAATCTTTGATGGCCCAATGGCCATCTTTTTGTTGGTCCAAGTGGCCAAGGGGTTGTGGGATCAAATCCCACCCCCGCCACTTTGAACCAATATTATCCTATTCCCAAAAAAAAAATCTTGTCACAAAAATCCTTCACCGGCAACCACCACACCGGTGGCTAGCGCCAGTGGCCAGAGGCGGTCGGTGGCCGCTGGAGGCCAGTCGCCGACGGTGGTCGCCAGTTGCCGGTGAGGGGTTGAGTTTTTTTTTTTAAAAAAAAAGAACAAAGGGCATTTTTGTCATTTCACTGAATTTCAAAATTCTAATTTGGGAAGGACTTTCCTATGGGTAATTACATTTCCTTAGCTTTCCAAATTGGCATTTCACATTTTAGAGCTTCTTTATCTGTCATTTTCCCAAAAGAAAACTATTGAAGTGTGTGAAAGGAAGAAAAAATAATGGCATGACTCATTTTTCAACCTCAAAGTCGTTAAAAGGATAATTTTATAACGTCCCATTAAAATTTACGTGATTTTTTGAGAGAAGAATTATAATAAGATCCTAAAAAAATAACTAGAAAAAAGTCTCAATAACAAATTAATAGTTGAAACATGTTTCATTTTTTACAATTTAATTTTACAAGTTACTTAGTTGTTATTGAATTTTTAGTAATTATGATCATTCTTTATGACTTTATATTAATCCTCCTTTCTCTAAATGATACAAAAATTTGTTTTACTTCATTTATTAGAGAGAGCCTTTATCATTCTTAATTTGTAGATATAGTACAATTTGTTATAATTTTAATATTTATATTTAAATTGTAATTTTAATGGAAGTCTTCCAACTAATTTTAACTTAGACAAAAGAAGAAAATATGTATTTTTAGTGATATTCTTTTCATGTGCTTGCTGCCTGCGTGTCAAACGATGCCACTTCCCATCCACTTGGCCTAAGCGGACGTCAGGGTGACCACATCCCTCCCATAATTTAATTAATTAATTTGTCCCTTTTAGTCGTTAATTTACAAATAACAAACAATATCTCATCAATTTCATGACTAGACAAAATTTTAATATATTGGACTTTTAGTGCATTTTTAAATTTTTTATTAAATGCGTCACTTTGCGGGGCCCACGATCTCAGAATATTCAAGCCGCTTGACTAGTGATGGAGTCAGTAGTCACAGGGTGGTAATTACTTATGGGCCAGCCTCTCTGCTGTTGGCAGCAGCCATTGAATGAACGCCACCTGTTAGCGTGACCCGTTCAAGCCCTTAGTTTTTCCACGCAGCTCCTATTGTTGCGCCCCGCACAAAAGGTCGTCATAATTACTTTTGTTTTGTTTTGTTTAACTCTTTCCTAAAATTTAATGACTTTTTTGTTTTTTTGGTGAGAACCAAAAAACGCAAAAACAATTCACTGCCACCATCAGTACTTAATATAAAAGTTAATTAATTAATTTAAATAAATTAAAAAAATTTTAAAGCTAATTATTGATAATAAATAGGTGTTATTTTTTCTAAAATATCATTCCTAATCAAGTGTATTAGCTGGAACTACTATTACTACAAAGACTCTCTTAAAAAAATAGATAAATATGATAGACAAAACGGATTGAAATTTTATATTTAGGACCAAAATAAAAAATCAAACAAGCTCTTATATTAATGACCTGAGGTAGTATGAGAGTTTGTTTAACTTTTAATTTGGTTCTAAATATAACACATCAATCCACTTTGTCTTTCATATTTATTTATTTATTTAAAACAATCTTTATAATCGTTGCACATGTTTAATATTTTATCAAATGGTACTACCTCCGGTTCTTAATATAAGACACTGTTTGACTTTTATTTTGGTTCTAAATATAAGACCCCAATCTATTTTGTTTATCATATTTAGCCATTTTTTCCAAGATAATCCTTCTAATAATTATATTTCTAGCTAATATAGTTGATTAATAAGGATATTTTAGGAAAAACAACACCTATTTATTACAAATAACTAACTTAACTTATTTACTTAATTTCCTCAAATTAGTCAATTGGGTCTTATAATTAGGACTGGAGGTAGTAATTCTAATTACTATACATAATGAGTAAAAGTGTTCTAGAAAGACAACACCTATTTATAACAAGTAACTAACTTAACTAATTTACTTAATCTCTTCAAATTAGTCAACCAGTTCTTATATTAAGGACTGGAAGTGGTATATTAAAACTGAAATTATAAATTCATATAATAATTTTAATAATGGGGCTTGTATTAAAAATAGAAAATACTCTCTCTCAACTCTATAAATATAAGTAGAAGAGTAACTTATATACCATACAACTAAACTTTTTCTTTTTTTTGCCAGCATATGACTTAACTTATAAATATAAAAGTGTCTCATAAATATAAATTGTTAAATTTGATTTGTTAATGAGGTAACTAGATTCATAAATATATAATTTTGAAGTGTAAATATTAAATATTTTTCAATCTATCTATATTTACATTTTTAATTTAAAATTATGAATAATATTTCTCTTTTGGCCCCTTAAAAAATTGTCCCTTAGGTCAAACCTTTTAAATCAAATCAAAATTTATCAATATAAAATGGGCTAAAATACATTTTGCCAAGCTCTAGTTTAGTTGAGCATATAAACTATTTAACTTTTTAAAATTTAAATTTAAGATCCTAATGTTGTATATTTTTACTTCAACTCGCCTCATTTAAATTAATGGTTTTGCCGCATCAAGATTTGTATATACTTTTTTGTTTAAAGAGAATGCAGCAGAGGGAGAACATTTTTTTGGGTCTTATTTATAAATCACTTCATTTAAATTTTAACATAAATGTATTATTTTATTTTTTATTTATTATAGTATATATAGTTATTTTTTTAAAAAAAGTGCATATATATTTAATGGGAATAAAATTAAAAATTTATTATATTTTAAGGAAAAATTAATACTCCATCTGTCTCTTTTTATAAAAAAAAAACATTCTCTCTTCTAACAGTGTCTCTAAATATAAGGAAAAAAAAATCATCTTTGTCTGAAATTTTAAACTTATTGTTATACTTTTATTCTCATTAAATATATTATCTCTCTACGATAAATATTTGCTCATTATTTCTCATTTACTCTTTTTACAAATAAAAATATAATTAAAAAACATATATATCTTATATATTTATTGTTTTTAACTAAATTTAAATAACATTTATAATTACTCAATTGTAGCAGTTGTATCTTATAATAATAACGGGGCATAAATTCTACATTCAAGCTATAAGGTTACGTTTGGTAGGGAGCATTGAAAATGAGGGATTGGGATTGAGATTACAATTGAAAAAATATATTAAGAGAGTGTTTAATATAAGAAATTTGTTTGATATATGGGATTAGCCAAAGCCATGTATGTGGGATTGGAGAATACCATGGGGGAAGTGGTATTCTCCAATCCCACCTTTATGAGTTTGTCTAATCCCATATAACAAACAATTACTCATGCTAAGTATTATTTTAATGATTTTTTTCAATTGCAATCCCAATCCCAATCCCTCATTTTCAATGCTCCCTACCAAACGGGACCTAAATGTCTTATGAATAACATAAAAAGAGTATCTGAGTAAGTATTGGATGCTAGAGGGTTTAAGTATATAATTTGTTTAGAATGACTTATAAATTACCTTTTAATAATAATTTATAAAATATGAGATAAATATAAAATTTTTTTATTATAACTTGTATAAAACATTTATTTATAAATAATAAATAATTTCAAATGTGAGCACGTGATCCTCCAATGCCAGTACAAAGCTAATATGAATGCCACAAGTCTATACCCACTCTACACCCCATTCACAGTTTCACACCAGCAAACCGAATTAGTCGAATTCAAGTTTCGTCACGGGACAATAACACCCTGGTTGACTAAAATCTTGACCACGGTTCCTTCTGTTCTGTAACCCCCCCTCACCTCCTTCTTCCGCCTCCTCCATATAAACCCCCTCACAACCCAACCAACTTCAAAGCTCAACAATCAGAACCAGAAACCCCAAAACCAAGAAGATCCAAACAGAAAATGATGAGAATCCGAAACTCCATACCCCCCCATCTTCCTCTTTTCTTCTTCCTCCTCCTTCATCTTTTTCATCCTTCACAAGCTCAGGACCAGATACAACCCAACACCACCGGCTACCAGTGCCCCGCTAATCAGACCGGCTCCGGCTACCCGTGCCGGACCTACGCCTTTTACCAAGCTTCAGCTCCTAATTTCCTCGACCTCGCCTCCATTGGTGACCTCTTCTCCGTTAGTCGCCCCATGATAGCACAACCAAGCAACATTTCTTCTCCTAATTCAACTTTAGCCCCAAACCAACCCCTCTTCGTTCCTTTATTTTGCTCCTGCAACTTCATCAACTCAACCTTCGGTGCCATCTCCTATGCGAATCTCTCCTACACCATCAAGAAAGGAGACACGTTCTACCAAGTCTCCTCGTTTAGCTACAGGAACCTCACGACCTACCAATCCGTTGAAGTCGTGAACCCCACCCTTATCCCGACGAATTTGACAATCGGTGTCAGCGCCGTGTTCCCTGTGTTCTGCAAGTGCCCTAACACGACGCAATTGCGAAACGGAGAGAACATCCTGATTTCCTACGTGGTTCAACCGAATGATAACGTATCGTCGATCGCCACCATGTTTGGATCGAAACCGCAGTCAATAATCGATGCTAACCGTAAAAATTTCCGAGAATTTGATACTATCTTCGTTCCAGTGTCGCGATTGCCGGTGCTGACGCAGCTTCCGGTTAATACTTCGGCGCCGCCGGCTTCGTCCCCTGCCGCATCTGTAACTTCCCGCGACAGAACAGGAACTGTGAGAGGATTGGCGATTGGGCTAGGGATTGTGGGGTTACTGTTGATTCTGGTTTTGGGGCTGTGGGTTTACAGAGAGGCTCTATTCAAGGACAAATTGGCGGTGGTGGTCGGAGATGAAGAGAAGCATAAGCAGAGCTTTGCGACGGGGACGAAGGGATCGAAGGAAGCGGAGGCGAAATTGATGGCGAATGTGTCGGATTGTTTGGATAAGTATAGGGTTTTTGGGTATGAAGAACTGAGAGAAGCCACAAATGGGTTTGATCAGAGATGCTTGATTCTTGGGTCTGTGTATAAAGGAACCATTGATGGAGAGGTCTATGCCATCAAGAAGATGAAGTGGAATGCTTACGAGGAGCTCAAGATCTTACAGAAGGTAACTATAATTAATTTTCCAATTTGTTTACACGTTCCATTCACCACTTTTCATTTCTTGTTAGAGCGGGGAAAAAAATACAAAATAACTTAATTAAATTAATTAATAAATGTGTAAAAATTATAACTTATTTTTTAAAATACGCTTTTATTTATGAAAAGGAAGATATGCTAGACTAATCAAAAGGACTTTATGTTTTGCTGGCTAAACGCACACAGACGCACTTATATGAAGTACTTCGTGTTAATGGAAAAAAGCCAGGCCGTCTAGGATGAAAGTGGAGAAAATTAAAATTAAAGTTTTAATTTCACAAAATTACTACAAGTTCTATTTTTTAAAATTTATAAGAAGCCACATGCTATATTAGGCCATCATTGATTTAAAAGCAAATCATGTTAAATATATAAAAAAAAAAAAGTGGCATTTTTTTTAATCAATATTGTTGCTGATAAACCATGTGGTATTTGATATTATGAAGTAGTTTAAATTAAGTTTGGGTTGAACCCTCATGAAAAAATCATAATTGGTTTTTGTCAACTACAAGACTCGAGTTCAGGACTTTATTTAAAAGATGTTGAATTCTTCAATTGTCATTCAATCCAAGCACTGTAATTTATTTATAAATACTTCTTAAATTTCATGCAATATTAAAAATTAGGAAGTTATATGTGGAAATTAGAAAGGATCAAGCGAGGTGACTTGCCTCATATTGAGGTCAACGGAATGGTTTGTTTTTTCATTTGCAAGGTTTTCCTATGTTAATATAATACCAGAGTTTGCAAAACTACAAATTGTATTTTTTGAGTTATGTCACTCTCCTCCTCTCCTTTACTTTCGGTGTACTCCACCAAACCAAGGGAATAAACCTGTGGATTCCCTTATATACCAAATATTTAATGATTCCCATGTTACTTGGTTACTAAACAAAAATTAATCTGATTGATATAGAAATAGGGCAGGGTAAGAAAATAACAAAATTGCCACTTGTTACCCATGGTTTGACTTTTAATCTATTAGATTCATGTGAATATACATCTAAGACAGTGCATCATTGGTGAAAGTGGTGGTTTTAAGTTACACCCAGTCAGATATTTTAAAAACGTGCTTAGATAAGATTAGGAAAGAGTGTTAAGTATTTAATTTAATGGCATGATGAAGAAGGTCTTTTCAACTTTGTCTTATTCGATTTGCTTAAGGTCTTTTTTGGATGCGGGTTTTTTTGACTTTGTCTGATAAAGCAGTAGGTTAGGTTAGCTTAAAGTCACCTTAAGAGACAAAAGCCGCCTCTGCTTTGTTCCTTCGTGTTCCTATATGACGGCTCTTAGCTAAGTTAAAATATCAGCAAATAAGAGGAGGTTCGTTATCAAATAATAGCATTAGTAATTCTAGGCTTCTCTCCAAACAGGCTTATTCTTTACTCTGATACATGACCTTTTCATTCTTTTTTCTATAACAACTTTCCCAAATAAATGACTAACAATGCACAATCCTCTTATATACGATGAAGGTGAACCATGGGAATTTGGTGAAGTTAGAGGGCTTTTGCATTGACGACGATGAAGCAAACTGCTATCTAGTCTATGAATATGTTGAAAACGGATCCCTCTACTCATGGTTGCATGAAGACCGGACCGAGCGGTTGAACTGGAAAATGAGGCTGCACGTCGCCATTGATGTAGCCAATGGCTTGCAATACATCCACGAGCACACAAGGCCAAGGGTTGTCCACAAAGACATCAAGAGTAGCAACATCCTCTTGGATGCTAACATGAGAGCCAAGATAGCTAATTTCGGACTCGCAAAGTCCGGAATGAATGCCATCACAATGCACATTGTGGGAACTCAAGGTTACATAGCTCCTGAATATTTAGCCGATGGTGTAGTCTCAACCAAGATGGATGTGTTCTCTTTTGGGGTAGTTCTGCTTGAACTAATCACAGGCAAAGAAGCCATTGATGATAGAGGAAATCCCTTGTGGACAACTGTGGTAAGAGCTTTTGAATTGGGTAGTGACCAAGAGAAGAACAAGAGACTAAGGGAATGGTTGGATAGTTCTCTCTTGAGAGAGACATGTTCAATGGAAAGTCTCAGGAGTGTGCTTAATGTTGCCCTTGCTTGCTTGCATAAGGATCCAACAAAGAGGCCTAGCATGGTGGATGTTGTTTATGCTTTGAGTAAAAGTGAAGATTCTGGTTTTGATACCTCAGATGATACCATGGATTCACCGTTAGTATCAGCAAGGTGAATCAACTAGATGCCTCATAATCTTCTATATTCATAGAAATAAATTTGCCTATAGATAGGGGTTAAAAAAAAAAAAAAAGAGGAATAATCAGTCATAGTGCACTTGAAAGTAAAGAAAGAGATAAGAGACAAATAAGATAGGTCCTACATTTGATAATGCGGGGGACCCACCTTTTAGATTCAAATGTTAATGTTTATGTCATGAGTAGAAGCACAAATATATGAATATGGAAGATTCTATTTGAAACTAATCATGATTTGCAAGACACCATTGTGGGTGTAATAATAAGTTTGTGGAAGGGAAAAATGTTTTTCAGGTCTGTCTATCAAGTTTAGATTAAATGCGAAGCATATATTTATGTGAATGTGAGGTTGATTTGTTGGAAAGTCTCTAGAGAATTGGTTCCCCCACCCCCCCCAATAGTGTTGAATTAATTTTTTTTTTATATATTCAGTAGTTTCTTGATGAACATAAGATGACCCAGGATGAACAGAATGATAATATTGGTATCAAATGATACTCCTCTAATTCTAAATATAAGACCCTTATACTAGTATGTATAAAGGTTTTATATTTAGAACCAGAAAAGTATTTAGTCTTTTTAAATCTATTTAGAATTGTTGTCTTTATATTAGAATAATTTATTTTGTTTAATGTTAGTTAAAGGAGTGTTAAATTAAACGTAATATTGATTATATGAAAAAGTAGTAAAATTTTGTTAACAATTTAATGGAAGTCAAATTTATTTTAACTATTCTTCTAAAAATAATGGGGCAGGATTGATTTAATTGAAGTTAGATAATAAATTTGTTCTTATAAATAAATTAGAGGGACAAAATTGCTTAAATTAAATAGATTACCTTGCCGCAATGTGTTAGGAAAAAAATCACATTGGAATTTTCAAATCTAATAAAATAAGATATATCAATACTATTCTTCAAACCAATGGGTTATTTGGGTTCAAATGTCTTGGATGGCATGATTATAAAATCCAAAACCAAACACGTCCAGAAATGGGGCATTTTGAGGTAACAAATGTAGACTTGTTTCTCATACCAAAAATATGTAGACATGTTTCAATAATAATTATATTATATTATCTTGGAATATAATTTTCATTTAATAATTACTATTAAAAAGGAGGTAAATAGGAGAAATTCTCATTGCTGAACCTTCATCAAACTTTTCTAATGTAGAATCATCCCTCATCACTTATGCTTAAAGTGCCACACGGAGCTAAACTTACGATTGATCGACATTTCAAAAAACTACCCAAACAAAATACTGGCACTTCTTTAGAGCCAATAGTTCATGCATAGTACAAATTGTTATGCTTTTATATTTTGTTATATATTTTTATTGTAGACATTGATTGACAACTTATTAATATGGTCAAAATGTCATTAATGGTCAAAATTTTTTTTTATTATATATGTTTTTCTCTTATTTTTCCTGTTTGGAACCTTGTGTAAATATCTTTTAGTTTGCCTGTGTCAGTTTCATTTTTCAAAAAATGACAGCTGTCATTGTGATGATTTTTGTGTGCGTGCGCTAAGCATAAGTATCTTTCTATTTGAAGTAGTCCTTTTCAAGGCATTATCAGATACTAAATATGAATTTGAATCTAGACCACTTTTCCTGGCCCAACTTCCATGATACATTGTGATGAATTTTGATGTTTCTTTTTTTGATATAATGTTTTCAAAAGCCTTACAATTTTTTCCTGGAACCAAGGCTAAGCCCAAAGGTATCTGTTTTCTTTTTTTTTGTTACAGCAAAGGTTTGTTATAGTCGAGCCTACTTACTTAACTCATTATTCATTGTCTGGCCCAACTTACATAACCAATGGGTTGATTCATCAAACTTCTCTTTTTTTTTTGGCTAAAACATAAGTATCCTCCTATTGAAGGCAATTCTATTCGAGACACTGTTAGGTACTAAATGTGGATACTTCTACCAGCGGGGATTTGAACTTTGATTTGTCATGTTGTGAGGGACTAATCCCTTCTGTTAGACCCAACTTCTATTAGTTCTCTTTTTTGAGAATATAATAAAATTAAATAACTTCTCTCTGTTTTTTGTTTTGTAAAAGATGAACATTTTCCAGCTTCTCATTGAGCTATTCGGACTTTCGTTCGAGATTTACGGGGTTTTGAAGTTTCATACAAGGGAAGTTCAATGGTCTATTCTATTTGGATATATTTGCTGGATTATTTGGTTGTCCGGATGTAAAATCGTGTTTGGCTCGAAGATAATCTGGACGGTGCAAGTGCTCCATCCAGCTGGTTTCATTAAGGTGGGAGTAGACGGTTCTGTGCTAGAGAATGGAAGAAGCGGTTATGGAGTTGTTCTGCCATATATACAGGGAGGAACATTAGGGTTTGTTTAGGATAATTTATAAACAGTTTTTCGATCTTGATTTACGGAATTTTATCTCCGGTTCTAAATATAAAGACTAGTTAGCGGTTCTAAATATAAGATTATAATCCTTTTTGTCTTCTAAATGTATAATATATTCTCAAAAATATCTCTATTGATTGTAAGGTATTTTCACCCAAATGTAGTTTCAATATACATGATTAAATAAGGATAATTTAAGAAAGTCAACACACATTTGTTATAAATAAGTAACTTAACTAATTTCATTCATCTTTTCAAATTAGCTATCTAGCTTTTATATTAAGGACTGGAAGTAGTATGAAATAAGTATATGAGAAGAATTTCATCTCGATTTATGTAAAAAAATTATGCGAATTCTCTGTACTGCATGTGAGAGAATGGAATTGATGTGCTAGTTTCTAATCTTGGTCATAACTTAGTGAGATAATTTTGCTGAATTATGAATTGGCCATCCCATAAATAAAATTAAAAATAAAACTTGCATCAATGACAAAATGTAAGAATATTATATTATATTTGATGAGGGCACATAAGAAATGTGAGTTTTCCTCCCATTCATAGAGAGAAAAATTAGGAAGAAAATAAAATGAGTCCCACATTTCATTTTATTTTTTCCTCACTTTCTCCCTCCATTCAAATAGGGAAAAACTCATTTCCTCCTCTATTTTTCTCCCTTATTTTCTTTCATCTCTTATTTTTTTTCTTCATAGGTTAAGGAATGAAGAGCCAAAAGTGACACCTCTGAGTTAAGGATGGTGTGAAAAATGAAAACCCAAAGCTGGTCATCGGCTGATAAAATGTGAAGATAAAGATTGGACCCAAATCTAGTTCTTTTATTTATTCTTTCGGCGCATTATGTGAATAAGCATATGATGGGTGGTAATGCACATGTGATTTCATTGATGAAGTCACATGATTATAAGAACATGGGGTTTATTTAATTGTTAAGATTCTATTTTCTTGAATCAAATTGTTAAGATTCTATTCTCTCCAACAATTCCTTGTCAGAATATCAATGCCTGCATCATCATCGTCATCCTCCACATGCAAATTCTTCATCTTTGGTGGCACTTATAAGGCTCCAAATAAATTTGCATATGATCTTAATTATCATCTGTCTGAAAATAAAATTTTGGACCAGGAAGAGAAAAATAATTCATTCTGACCTCAGATCCAACATATATAGCACATTTAAAGCATCACAACAATAAATAAGAATGAAAATGATTGAAGTCCTTTCATACTTTGATATGTGGAAACCCTAGAATTAATTAAAATAAATTTTTGTATGTTTTACAAAATAAAATTTTTTTCACATACGTAGCTGGTACAACATAAAATCATCTAAAATAACCTAATTCAAACACACATGCATAAAATGAAAAAACTCTGCTTCCTTACAGCTTGCAAACCATAAGGAGGAGGAGGACACAATCCATCCAAAAGAAATTGAAATAGCTATTTTATTACCTATAATGTTATTTAATTGAACATTATTTGTAAAGAATGGGATAGAATATTTATTATTTTTGTCCATTTTTGTAAAAAGTTATTTTACAATTATAAGGTTATTTTTTTATATTTTTATAGTTAAAAATAAATTAGTAATTTTAATATATTTTTATAAATTAAATATATTAAAATTGAAAGCCATGTGCATTTTGCATGGAGTTTTTAAAAAAATTCCAGACCAAGTTGAATTTTGTGGATAGGAAAACTTATGTCGAGAGAGTCATCTCCAACTGAGCTAACAACACTTAATTGATTACATCATATATCAAATACTTATAATCATATATATTAATACCTTCAGTGTTTAATATAAGAGCTAGATAAATAGTTTATATATATTAAGAAAATTAGCTAAGTTGGTTACTTGTCACAAATATATGTTGATCTTTCTAACTATCTTTTTCAATTATGTGCATTGAATGATTAGAATTATTCCTTAGTGGGAACCATTTGCAATCCATAGGAATATTTTGGAAAAAAATATGAAACAGAGTGAATTGAGATTTTACGACTAAATGCAACTCCTAACTGAGATAAATATTAGCCATGTGCCTGGTGCCCAAGGTTTAAAAAACATAACAAGCTGTACCATTGATTATGTGTGTAATTTTTTTATAAATTGTTTAAGTATATTAGCCTGTCTCAATATTTTTATCTGATTTTTGGGGAATGAAATTCACATGTGTAGCTAATTTGGTGAGTTGGTGTCTGATCTTTTCACTGATGGATTGCTCCATTATGTGGAGAAACCTCAAACTCTTGTGAGTATTTAGTTAATTAATTATAACCTATTTCATTATTTTTTTTTCTAAAAAGCATTTAATATAATGCCAAATCATGTTATGTGTCTCACATAAATAGTCATTTTATTTGGGATCATGCACTAGAAGAATGTGACCCTAATTGTGAATGTGATACACCTTATTGGGGGGAAGCATCAGGTGATGAGGATGAACCCAGATGGTCTTATCACATCAGATATGCTACAAAGAAGAAAAAGGAGAAGAATACATCTCCTTATGTAAGGAATTGAAAGACACGCAGCAGAAATTAACTTTAAAATTTTCCAATTCCTTGTCCGGATCTACTGATTGTGTTTAAGTCAAGTAGTAAGAGGTGTTACCTGCAGTATTCGAATCAATGGTGGCTCGGGGATTCCGACGTTCGAGATGCCTATGCTCTTCTTTTGATCATGAGAAGTCGACGACTCAGATCGGCTTCCTCTACCGGTATCCACACGAACAGCGTTCCAATCACGAACGACGTGCTAGCGCCTCTTGTCCTTCTAAGGTTTTTGAGAATCCGTCCTCACCGTCTCTCTATTGGCCGTTTCTTATCTGCAAACGTTTTGCACTCTCACACGCCCAAAACCCTAGCTCCTAATATCAAATATATAGGACGCTAAGGATATTGGATTTCGGAATTAATCCTAAATTAATTCCGAAATTAATACAATATCACATATTGCGTAATCTGA